CTAGAAGGAGTTCAGTGTGGCCAGGATATATAACATTTGGTTAAATCTCACGAAGAACCCCAGGGGCTGATTCATTCCCTCCCACCCTGGAGTTCACATAGCATCCTGTCCATCCTGTCTCTCATCCTTGTCATCTTTTGGCGGGATCTTTGGATTGTGATTGTCCGTCATAGGTTTATCTCTCTCACTTGCCCATGAGTAGTACCTCAAGGACAAGGACTTTGCCCACTTATCCTGGGAATCCCCAATATGGTGGTGAGTTAGTGAGTGAATGTTTTTTAAAAATTCTACAGTGAGCAAGGGGCTGTGCCAAGTGCCAAGGACCCAGGGAAGAAAAAGAGACTTTAAGAGCTTTCAGTCCTTAATCAGACTTAGTCATAAAAAAGTGATTACACAAGACGTACTAATACATATTATGTGCTGCAATAGAGGCTTGGTGCCTGTGGAGAAGAGGGAATGGTGCTTCTGGGGAAGATGGCATTTGAATTAGCCTTGAAAGTGTTCAACAGTAAAGATGATGGTGAGGCTGTTCCAGGCTTATACTGAGTGGACTAAGAGGAAAATGCTCTGAGCATTGTTTAGTGAGAGAGAATTCAACCCCGTTCCTGCATCCTCTGCTCTGCAGAAGGGCACATGTGTGCCGTTTCCTTGACAATAACCCACTCCAATATAGTCAATATTTTAAATTTCTGCTAATCTGAGGGGTAAATGATGAGTATTCTTTCCCTGATATTTTTCTGTCTCATAAGCTTATTGGCCACTTATATTTCATCCTTAATGAATTGCCCATTCACAGTCTTTTTAAAATTTTTCTATTGGTTTTTTGTTTTATTCTTAATTATAGAGATGTTTATACATAATCAATGTTAAACATGTTACCAATATTTTCTCCCATAATACCACTCGAACCTTGTTTATAGTATCTTTTGCAGTGCATAAACTGAAAATTTTAAGTATATGTTCATCTTTTGTGTTATGATTTCTGAGTCTTGCTTAGGAAGGTTTGCCTCCCTCTAAAATATTAAAATAGCTGCCTACATGTTATTCTGCTACTTTAAACATTTTTATTTTTTTTTTAGTATTTATACGTGGGATTTATTTTAGAGTATGGTGTGAGGTAGAGATTTAACTTTATTTTTTCCGCACGCCTGTCTAGTTTGCCAAGACCATTGCTCAGTAGTTGGTGCTTTCCTTCTGACTTGAATTGTCACCCTTACTATAAGCTACATGCCCGTGCACACCCCATCTGCTCCTAGGCTGTTTAGTCTCCCCCACCAGTTCCCTGTCCATTCCCATATACGAGAAGCACAACTTTGTGCTAGGTTTTCATATCTAATAGGGCAATAATATCCTTGCAACATTTTCCTAGCTATTTGTATTTCTCTTTGAGATGAAATCATATTGTTAATCTGTAAAAAGTAAGATAGAATCTTATTTTTTGGATGTATAAATTGGTGTGGAGAGAAATGACGTTTTTACAACGTTGAAGCTTCCCATCCAGAAAGCTTCTCTATTTATTCAAACCTCCTTTGGTATAATTTTGTGGGTGATGTAGGATTTGCATGTATATTATTGGGTTATCCCAGGTATTTTATAGTTTCTTGGGCCATTATGAATGTATTCTTATTCCATTCCATTTTCTAATTAGTAGCTGCTGATTAATATGAAAGCTATTTATTTTTTTATGTGGATTCTTGATTAACCAAAATTATTTCTAAAAGTTTTCCACCTGCTTTCCTAAGATTTTTCCAAGCATACAATATCTGCTAAGAATAACGGTTTGGTTTTCCCTTTCCCATATATGTATCCTTCAATTCCTTATCTGGTCTTCTGCATAGCTAGAGCTCCAGGACAATAAGTAGTAGCAGTGGTAATAAGCATGCTTGCCTTGTTCGTGTCTTTAATGGGTATCAATTATTTTAATCTTACCAAAGTAAGAAACCCTCTCTGTGGCATCCTGGATAGCTATTATCCAGCCCATACGTGAATGCTCAGGGCGATTGCTTACTATCTTATGAAGATGCTTGCCCCATTTGTGCCCAGCTCTGTTTGAGAACTTCCTCCTTTACACTTAATATATTCATTTATTCTAACTCAGAGCCTATATTTCCCTGCTCTGTCTTCTTCTAGAGATGCTCCTCTTCTTGCAGAGTCCCTCCTATTTGGGGAGAGAATGGTTTTCTCAGAGAAACCCAGGGAAGCAGCGGCATTAGGGCAAAGGTGTGGTGAAGAAATTCACTCATTCAGTCAGCACACGTCACTGAGCACCTACTCGGTGCAAGGCACTGGGCACAGAGAGAGAAAAAGACATAGTCCCTGCCCTCAAAGAGCTCAGTCTGGTTGGGGTACACATATGTAAAATAATGGTACCATGGCCTGGGAACGCATGTGAGGGAGCAACTGACTCTACCTTGAGAGGCTGGGCAAGACTTCACTCTCAGCTGGATTTGAAGGGTGAGTAGTTAATGAAAGAAGAGATGGGAAGAGGGCTTCCAAGCAGCAGAAAGAGAGCACGTAGAAACAGAACCCAAGGGACAAGGGCAGTAAAATGAGAGGTGGCAAGAGACACACTGACTTCTGAGCAGCGGGCTGGGGCTGCTGGAGGTCAGTGTATGGTGTCTCCCTCCAGCGGTAATAGCCCTCCTGTGCACGAGTGGCTACCTGATCTGGAGGAACTGGAAGCGCAAGAACACCAAAAGCATGAACTTCGACAACCCCGTGTACAGGAAAACAACAGAAGAGGATGACGAAGATGAGCTCCACATAGGGAGGGCTGCCCAGGTCGGCCACGTCTACCCCGCGGTAAGCACTCCTTGCTCAAAGAATTCCTCCTCCCTCCCTCCCTCCCTTCCTTCCTTCCTTCCTTCCTTTTTCCTTCCTCCCTCCCTCCTTGCCTTCCTCCCTTCTTTCCTTCCTCCCTTCCTTCAAACATTTATCAAGAACCTACCATGTGCCAGGCACTGTTCTAGGCCCTGGGGACACAGAAGCGTTGAGGCAGGCAGTTGGGGTAGAAGGGTATCAGGACCATCTTGTACCTAGAGGCTCTTCCTGGAAGTAAAGACCAAATGTCTGTCTTTCTGCTGAGTAAGTTTTCAGAACCTTTGACCTAGGGCCATTCAATTCAAATGTATTCATTGCAACAAGCACTGTATGCCAGTTATGAGCCAAGCACCACATTAGGTATTAAGTGTTCAAAAGGAAGGAAGGAATGTGCTTGCTCCCAAGGAGCTGGCGGGGGTTAGAGATCGTCACTTCCTATTGTACAGCTGTGTGCCAAGTGCCATGGTGGAAGCTCAGGAGTCCTCTCTTCTAAGAAACTTTCCCTGGCTTTCTATGTTCTCCCACAGCTTCTCTCCATCACAGCACCTGTCACACTCTGGCCAACTTGTCTTTTTACTCTTTGGTCTTCCCACTAGACAGTGAGCTCCTTGAGGGCAGGACTATCTGATTAATCTATTTCCCTGATGCCCAGCACAGCATAGGTGGCTCCCAGTGAATATTTGTTGAACAGATCAACAAGGGTGCTGTTAATTCTGTTTGGGGAATTTGGCAGGGAGTGCCTCACAGAGGAGGTGACAGATAAACCGCGTCCTTGAAAGAGAAGGAAGAGAATGGCATTCCAGAAAGAAGCACATGCAAAAGCTGAGAGGCGCCACAGGGCATGGCTTGTTGGGGGAGCAGGACTGCAAAGTGGCTGAAGCAGGTGTCATGGTTGTCTAGCAGTCAGGGGGCTGAGTGTAACCTCATAGGTCACCCAGTCCATCCCCCTGTCAGGCAATCAGCAGCTTTGACCGCCCACTGTGGGCAGAGCCCTGTCTTGGGGAGACCAGAGAACTGGAAGACCCAGCCCCTGCCCTCAAGGAGCTTTTTGTCTTGCCGGGAGAACCAAGGTCACAGCTGCACCAACTCCCGAAGAACCCTCTTTCCGAGCTGCCTGTCGTCAAGTGCAAGGTAGGGCAGTGCCACTCTGAGTCTGAGGGGCTGATGAGTGAGGGTGTGAACCCAGGCAGGTACAGCCAATGCTAGAAAGCTTTCTGGTTCTGGAAGGCTGGGTATTGGCACAAAGAGAAAAGCTGGGTGAGTTGCAGACTGAGGAAATGGCATGTGGAAGAAATGATTGAGTATGAGCAGGGCAGACAGAACTGCTGCTGAAGCAAATTGTTCATGAAGGGGAGACACGGGAAATGAGGCTGAGCAAGTGAAGAGGGCTAGAAGGTGGCCTTGAGGATCCTTAGCCTGGGCCAATCAAAGCAAATAGTTGCTTAACCAATTTTTAAAGATCAAAGAGGGCACAGTGGAAGAAATGCTGAGCTTGGAGTAAGGAGATGACTCCCAGTTTCACTGTTCCACAGCCCTGTGATCTTAGTCACTTCTCTGCTTGCTTTTATTTGTCAAATGGGAATAACACACCCCCCGCCTTCTATCTGCCTCTTAAGTTTATAAAGTTCAAGCTAGACAGCACACGTGAGAGAGCTTTGTGAGTTATAAAGCACTCCGTACATGGGAGGTAGCATTGTTTCCAGAGAAGGAAGAAACCGTCCAGGAGGAGCTATTCCTGAGGAATCTAGAACCAAGGAATAACCTCCTGCCAGTTGCAGAGAAATAGAAGGACAGTGAGGAAATCAGCCATGTATCAGACACCACTCAGTGTTTTACATGCCTCTTCTCCTTTAGTTTTTACAGTGGCCTTGTAAAGTTGATATTTATTAGCCCCATTTTGCAGATGAGAAAACTGAGACTCAGAAATTAAATAATGCCTAGGATCACAACCAGGAAGTGGCAGAACCAGGATTCAAACTCCAGTCTGTATATATACAAAGCCCATGCTCTTCCCACTCTATCATGGGGTAAATAGCCTTGAAGCTCTGGAAACCAGTATTCTCAATAACCTGTTACCTCCCTGTCCCTTTCTCAGGTAGCTCTATATTGTCTTGGAGAGAGTGGGAGGGTAACTGGATTAGAAAAAGATACTCTCAAATATCTATACTAGTGGAGCAAGGCCATGGCATTCATGCAAAACCACAAATAACCAAAAGATGATTTGAAAGGCAGTGGAGTTACCTTTTATTATGTGTAGATTGTCCAGAGGTGGAAAATGCTAGTCTGGTTGTATTTCGTGCTGGTTAGGTTGACCTAGAATACTCTGGACCTGTGTGTGTTAAGCATTCTACATACATTATGTCATTTAATTTCCCAACAACCCTAGAAGGTAGGTCCTATTATTATTCCCATTTGACAGATGATGAAATCAAGGCTCAGAGAGGTGAAGCGGTTAGCCCACATTCAATTGCCGTGAGACGATATTGAAACACGGATCTGTCCACAGGAGGGTATCCAGGAAATGGATGGGTGGGAAACAGGATTACAACTAGACCAGTTGGGGAAGGCTAGATGTGTAGCCTGGAGAAGAAAACATTCTGAAGGAAGGAACTCAAACACTGCAAATTTCAAGTGTTGTCTGTGTAGAACTCTCTGAGTCTAAGAGAGAGAATCAGGGAACATCAGAAGATACAAAGAAACATTTCATATCAATATAGGAGAGAATTTAAGTCCACTGTCCACAATGGAATAGACTGGCCCAGGGATTAGTGGGCTCACCATCCAGTGGTCAGCCATTTGTCACAAAGGGAAGTCTAGCATCTAATGACTAGAAAGTAGGGGTGTGAAGGGAAGAGGTATTGAATTTCATTGACCTGCATTGCCTTCCGATTCTGTTAATCATTTGGGAGGGGTACAGCAGATCACCTTCCTAACTGTGACTAGCATGCTAGAGACAAGCAGCTAATGACGTGGGATTAAACATATGCCAAAACATATGCAAACCTAAAATCCTATAAGAAAGGACTGAGAAAGTTTAGATCCCTGCAGCCCTCCTTTACAAAGAGGCAGAACAGAATGATGGAAAAACTAACACTCTGGATTCACACAGATCTGGGTTCAAATTTTAGTTCACCCACTTGCTACGTGATCCAGGACAAATGTTTAAGCTCGTTGAGTCTCAATTTTCTCATCTATAAAATAACTATGACAAACCTGTCTCTTGGGGTAGTTTGAAGATTATATGAATTAACGCCTGTAAAGTAATAGAATTCTCTCTGGTACCTCAGGCATACTCAATAAATAACTCCTATGGGTCTAATGATGGTTTCTTTGCTGTGTCTCCCCAGCGAGTGGCATTAAGCCTTGAAGATGATGGACTGCCCTAAGGATGGGACCATTCCCTTCATGCCTCACGGAATTCAGTTCCATGCACTACACTCTCTGGATGGTGTATGCCTGGATGGAAGGATTTCTGTATATGGGTCTGTGAGAGCGCACGCGCATGCATGCGCGTGCGTGTGTGTGTGTGTGTACGCGCGTGTGTGTAATTTTTTTTAATTTATGTTGCAGAAAGGTAACCACAAAGTTATGATGAACTGCAAACATCCAAAGGATGTGAGAGTTTTTATATGTATAATGTTTTATACACTTTTTAACTGGTTGCACTACCCATGAGGAATTCATGGAATGGCTACTGCTGAGTGACTAACATGATGTACATAACCAAATGGGGCCGATGGTACAGTAGCTTACTCATCACTTAAAACCTATATTTACAGAGAGAGTATTTGATTTGGGGGGGCTTTCTTAGGTTTTGGAGTTTGTTTTTTTTGTAAATAAAATGATTATGCTTTGTGGCTATCCATCAACATAAGAAAAAAACACCTCAACTCCTTCCCCAATTTAGATTATTTATTAACAAACTTCAAAAATAAGGTTAGTTATATAAATAATTTAGAGACATGAGAGTATTTATTTTTGGTATGATTGGCCCACCACACGGACTCTGTGTGCATTTATGTTTGTCTGTATGTGTGTGCAAGAGAAAAATCGAGAGAGGAGGCGCACCTATGGCTGTTGTTCAAGTACATAGACATAAACCTACATTAAGACAGTCCACAAGAGGGTATTTGGAGTTTTCAGAGAAGCCTTTGGAAATTTGGCTCAGAAAACAGATACTGTGGTTTGTGCAAACGTGTAGCAGAAGAGGCAGAATCTTTCCACCTCTGGCTATTCCTGGGCCCCAATCAGTCAGGAAAAACCCTCCAGCTCACCCATGGCTGCTGTGACTTCTACCTGGGCTTTCTCTTGTGTGGCTAAGGCCAGGGTACAGACTTTACACCATGTCAGAAATCCTCGTGAGCTCAGGTGAGAACACGCCTGAACCTTGGCTACTCCTTGTTTTAAAGTTCAGCATTTCAAGTAACTTCATTTTCCTTCAGGACACTTTGGTTGAATTCATCAAGGTTCCTCTGAAGCACCCTGCGGGTACCTACTTATAGAGAGCTAAGTGGAGATGTTTCCAGAACCGCCCAAGTTTACTCTAGGGACTGGCTTAGGTACAGAATCCCTGAAATAATGCTATGGATGAAGATAAAGATAGTGGAATAGGTTTTGCTACATCTCCATCTCTTCCTTCCTCCTTCTACCATTTCCTTTAGGCGGGGAAGTGTAATACACAGGTTTGTTGCCTTCATGTGTTCACATAGATGAAACTAATTTGGGGCTTAAGTCAGAAAAAGTGGCCAAACCTAAAGTCCTATTTGAGGGGGAAATGGCATACGCAATATTATAGTACACTGGATATATATGTTCACACAGGGATTTGGTTTACTGCTTTGTAAATAAAAGGAAAAACTCTAGGTATATGTACAGATTTTTTTTTCCCCATATGGACACTTTCTTTGCTTCTCCTGGGCCTTGGGGGAGGCGGGTAGACCCCTTTGTGGGGTCTACCATTGGAAAATAATCGGACAGTCCCAGAAGGAGTTCAGTCTCCACTGGCTCTCTCATCCGAGGTCTTTTCTTAACTCTGCTGTTCTACCACTTCACTCCCCACTGTAGTGAAGGACAAGATGTGACACAGAAGTGTTTGGCTTAAGTAGGAGCAGAGGACATGTATTTAACCTTAACATACCTGGAACTTGACACATTTAAGCAAATTTCTCTCTCCTGCTTCCTGGTTGCCCCCAACTCAATGAAGCTTGGATGTCTCATCAGCTTATCACCCTGTTCCTAGGACCTTTTTCTACGTCACTCATGGTCTCCTAAATCTTGAGAAAACAACTGTATTCTGGAGCCTGGGAACAGACCAGCAATTTCCTCATGATATGTACGTGTTGACAGTCCTGAAACACCAATTAAGAAGGAAAATGCAATTGACCTAGAATGACCATTACCAAATAGAATTGTAAAAACAGCTGGCCAGCTCCTATGGAGCTTAATCACTTACTACTATTCTTTCAAGAATAAAAAGTAAAATAATTTTTGACTGAAGACAAACGATGAAAGTGAAAAATCATTGAAATGTACACAAAAAAAGCAACTTTTTCTGCAATCTGCTTCCAAAGAAATAGAATTTCCTGTGGAAATAATAACAGTGACTAATGCATAATATCTAAACTTTCAGTCAGATCCTGGCCTTTACAGAAAAAATAATGAATAAGGTCAGGATGATTCAGCCTGAGATCTCAAAATGATGACAAGATACAGCTTTCTCAGAGACACTCATATTTTCTGACTATGCTACAACTGTAGTTTGAAAGAGGCAGCTATGGGAGCAACCTACAAAAAACAAAATTGTGGAATACATGTTGGATGGTACTAAAATAAGTGAAATCTGAGGAGCCAGGTCCATCTTCTAGTCCTTAAGGCTTTTAAGCCCCATTCTGAGGTTTAGTTGCATTTCTGTTGCCTTCTGCCCCTGTGCATTCATATATCGACAGTCAAGAATGGGTCAGTCATCGGACTGTAGAGCTGGAAGGGAGCTTAGAGATGACTCCAGGAGGGGAGAAATTTTATCAGACAATTTTTCTCTATTTAAAACAAACTGGTCCCGGTCCTTTTCCTCCCTTTTCTTCTCCAGTTGACTACTTTGCACTGCCTGAACTCTGCAATAGCAAGTTGCTTTACACTGTACCAAACCTGCTACCTATGTTTCCAATGGAATTATGAAGGCACTGGCAGAAATGGCCTTCCAGAAACAGTGGAAACTAAAATTTCATTTATTCACTTTCGATAGCATGATTATTTATAAAACAGATGGAGATAACCTGTAATGTCAGAATGAGATTGGATTTAAACTTACGGCAATACGCACTATTGATCCCTCCAATTCTCTCCTTGCGATTGCAATATATTCATTCACTGAAACCACTTGCTCGGTACCAACTAAGTGTCAGGCACTGCAGATGTACAGGTCAACTGAATGTTTTCTGTCCTTATGGAGCTCACAGTAGCAGTGGAGGAAGACATATGTGGAAACAAAAAAGGAATAGATTCTTTCCAGAGAACAGCTGTGGTACGAAGTCATCATTTCTCCCGAAGGAGATGAAGAATGGGGTCAAGAAAGCCATCATAGGGGAAGTGACCTTAAGCTAAGTCTTAACAATTAAGTAGGGATGTGAGGCTGCTTCAGGCAGAGGAAACACTGAACCAAGACAGGCATGAAAGAGCATGGGGACTTTAACTGCATGTAATTCATTATAAGGAACAAAAAGCTCTTGGGGACTTAGCAAGAGATGAGGCTGGGTGGAAAGACAGGTTCAGTATAAGCACTTTATAGAATGTTCTGTTTAACTTCTGGTTCCATTAAGCAAACACTTCTTGGTCGTTCACTGTGGACGAGGCACCAGGTGCATGGGAAATTCATCAGGATGCGTTGCCAGCACTTGCAGACATGACAGGCTTCAGCCTCAAGCTTTCCAGTGGCCAAAGAGAAACAGTGACTGCTTTTCATATATTTGAGTTGAAGTTCTTTGATATGGTCAATGAAAACTAATATAAGGGCAATGGGACTTTCACAGAAGGTTCCATGTTGTCAAGAGCCTCTGAGATTTTTCTCAACTGTGAGAAAGAAAACTGGAAACTTTGATGACGTGGAGTCTGCAGAGGGGGCCCCAACCACTATCCAGTTAGGCACTGATGGGAATGGGGAGAGGGCACAGGAGTGTGAGCCTCCCCACCTCACTCCCTAACTTCAGCCATATACTCATCATTTCACAGAATAGAGATGGTTAGCAGTTAAACGTTTCAGAGTAAACTATCTCCTTTCAATGCATGAAAATAAAGTATTGCAGTCTTCTTACACTGTATTTTTAGGGTATTGGAGATTTTCAGGATATGGAGACTTTCGGGGTGGAAAAATTACAGCTTCAAATTTTCAGTTAATAAAAGAAATCAGGACACTGTTCATTCAGGCTATGAACCATGTGCACAGTCAGGAATCAGCAGAAACCCTCTGTATCTGCAAACACTTTGTGCTATAAAAAGTAATTTTAAAAGAGCCACCTGTATATGTATATATATATTTAAAGACATGAAGGTTTTGATACTTTTTTACAAAAATTACAAGAGAAAACAAATACCTGTACAAACCATGTGTTTTAAAATTAAAATAGCATTTTGTTCTATACAAGCTGTTAGTTTGGGGGTGAAGTACTCATTTGCAAACTCCATCACACTGTACCCAAATGAATTTTTCTTGTTTGTCTGCCCCCCACCCTCCCACACACATGCCCCAAAACTACCATATTTGATGTGATATAACAGGCATGTTAGAATGTTGGCTCACACTAACCGTTCCTGCTCTTTTTGTCTCGTCATTCCGAGTTCCGTTGACTCTGTACTCAGTCATCTTTGCAGTCTGGTTTCTCTTCCAGAGGCAAAGGGTGGTGTGTTGCATCTCACTAGCTGTACTGGCATCATCTCGGTGAACTAAAAACCAAATGTGGACATTTGTAAAATCAGTGCACTGTTTCTAGAGAAAGATTAAATTCATTTTTTAAAATCCGAAAGTATTGTTTCATTGTGATGTTTTAAGGAGGGGAGAGTGAACGAACAGTCGTTGATTGAGTCCCTAAGGTGTACCCAGTATTCCACATAAATTACCTTAATCTTCATCAACAATCCTGTGAGGTAAATACTATCAATATTATAATTCCCACTTTATAGATGAGGAATGGGTGAAGGAACTGCCCAAAGTCACAGTTATGCTTATGTCCCCAAAGAACATGTAGCACATGTGCTCATGTACACCGGGCACTCTCTGCCTAGATTTTCCTTCTCTGCTCTTCATCGGGCCTACTCCTGATTGTCCTTGAGTCCTCCAGGAAGCACTGTCTATTCTCTCAGACCCAGACCTGACTCATAGGGTTAGATAACTCCACAATAAACTTGGCCTACTTGTATCCCAATACTTCTGCCCTACTTCTCACTCCCACTTCTCATTAAGGTTGCTTTTATCAAGGTCACCCAGGACCTCTTTGATTATAAATCTTGTAAATACTTTTAGTCCTATCTTCCTGGACCTTGGAAGGAGTATTTAACATTGTTCACACACCTTTCTTGGGATACTCTTGTTTTGGTTTACCTGACACCATACACCCGGTTTTCTCTCTACCTCTCTGGCCACATCTTAATATCCTTTGTCCACCCTTTAAATTATGGTATTCCATCTCAAACCCATCTACTTTTATATCTCCATTGCTATTACCAGAGTATATATTACCATCATCTTGGATTGTCACCATCATAGGTTACTTTAAAACTACTTATCTGAATTTCATACTTCTAATCTTTCCATTTTCCAATCCTATCTACAACACTGTAGCCAGAGCGATCTTTCTAGAATGCAACAGGTCATGTCACAACCACCCCTCTCTACTTTCCTGCTGAAAGGCCTTTATCTGTTTCCCTTGCATTAAAATCCAATACCCTTGA